CAGAACTATGAAACAATACATCCTGAGAGTTCCCTTGGGCATCAGCCTTGGAGCATCACAGCCAGCGTGGGGATTCCCAGATCCAGTTTGGAAAGTGGCACCCAGAAACCATCCTTGCCATGGGATTCGTGTCATTCCATTCCAAGCCCTCGGGATTCGGTTGGGGCTTTGATCACCTCTGACCAACAGGTTCCTGGCCAAAATTAGGCTGGAAAAAAAAAAGGCTGCTATAATTATGTAGAGGAAATAGGAAGAGGGGAACGTCTCGCTGCCAGCTCCTGTGCCCACAAAGATAATAAAAGCTTTGGCAGAAGGGAGCACTGGGCATGTGCTAGCACTCTCCTCTTTGAACCTCTTCCAGGAATCAGTGCTGAGAAATCACCACTTTGCTGCAAGCCTGAGAGGTCCATCCTAGGGAAAGCCCACGGTGAGTTCCCCCACTCTAAAAGCTCTGTGATAAGAATCAGAAAAAGGTTTTAATTAGTGCTCTTTAAACTGCTCTACAAGGGCCTTCTCCCCTGCCCAGGCCCTTTGACATGCTTATTGACCACGGTGTAAATCAGCCTCTGTGGAGCTGAGGTGACAAATGAAGCCTGCCACAATCCTGCATGACACAGAACATGTTTTCTTAGGGGAGGCAGGAGCTGACAGAGCATCAAATGATCGTGTTCCATCTATAACTTTCACTCTGTCAAGCCTTCTGTCCTCTGCATGCCAATTATCATAAATATAGCTGAGTGCATGCAGGCAGAGGGACACGAAGGCAGCTCTCTAACAGATGTAAAACTGAGAGATTCAGACGTTTGTAAATCTTTTGGCTGTTGACACAAAAGCCACGTTCTGTCCCCTTTGCTTTGAAGGCAATGAGAAATGAATAAATCTTTACAAATCAACACTGAAATAGAAATAAGAACATCCAGCAAGCCTCGCTGGGTGAAATATCTTTCCCATTGCTGAGTTGAGGGGAGGCAGCAGGGATTTATCCTCCCACAGGTATCAACACCTCAAGCAACACAACAAGCACGCTGTTTGCTAGAAAGAATCAAAAACCACACACACACACACTCCCCCTTGCATGTTTTGGAAGGGCTTTCTTCTGACACTGTGAAGGAAGAGGATGGTTGAAGAAAAAAATTATAGCTCCAGGGAATTAGTTTTTGAGATTGTTGTTAGTGTGTCTTTCAAAAGAACACGGGGTGCTTCTTGCTTGGCTGTGAGTGCTAAAAGGAAGCTTGCATGTTATTTCTTTTATATGCTGTGCAGACCCTCCAAATATTACAATATATTTAATTTAGATTTATATGAATTTTTATATCAAATAAACATCACTAGAACTAATGGGTGGGTGGAATGATTTCCTCCTCTCCACACTCTTACCTCAAGCTGCAAACGGGGTACCTCTTCTCTTCATGATGATTGATTCCATCCCAGACCACCACTAATCTGAGCATCAGCCTGAGCCTGGCACGTGCCTTTCAGGATCCAGGCTGGTCTCGCACGTCCTCAGGCTGTCACCTCCTTCAGAATGTGAAGTTCCTTAGGAAAATGATGTCTGGATGAAGAGGGAGAACTGCAGTGGGCAGCACGTTGCTACTTCAGGCACAGAGCAGAGGGAGAGGAGGATTTCCTGGAGAGGAAGACTGCTGCAGGCTCCTGAAGGTCCAAGTGCAGGCATGGCCCATCACTGTCCTCAGCACAAGGGATGGAGATACAGGCAGACATGCAGATGCTTGTGATTTCAAACCATCAGGAGTCTTCCTTCCTGCCAGGTGCCACCTTTGCTGGGTTTAACGGGTGCTCTGGGACCCATGGCCTGTGTTTTGCAGCCAATCCTAGGATGGTTTGGCTTGGAAAGGACCTTTAAAGGTCATCACAGGCAGTGATGCTTCCCACTAGACCAGGTTGCTCAAAGCACCATCCAGCCTGCCTTGACCACCTCCAGGGATGGGGCACCCACCACCTCTCCAGGAAACCTGTTCCAGCCTCTCACTACCCTCACAGTAAAGAATTCCTTCCTTGTATCTAACCTGAATCTACCTCCTTTCAGTTTAAAACTTGTCCTCTCACTACATCCCCTGACAAAAAGTCCCTCCCCAGCTTTCCTGCAGGCCCCCTTTAAATACTAGAAGGTTGCAATAAGGTCTCCCTGGAGCCTTCTCTTCCCCACCCCAACTCTCTCAGCTTTGTGTAGTTAGTGCAGACCACTTAAGATTTGTAAAGCATGCAAGGGAGGAAGAGAATTCTCAAAAAGTCGTACAGCTTTATGATTTCAGTCCTAAAAAAAGGGATGGCTTTAATACAATCGCTTTTCTGGGAGCCTGGGATGGGGATATTGTTCTCAGGAGTGCTGTTCCATAGGAAAAAAGTGTATTTCATCAAGGAAGTCACCACTATGAAAAGAATAAAAGCTGCAATTCTGAGCTGAACACGTACATCTGTCAGAGAAACAGGCTACGAGATCACTTGTTTCAAAATATATATTGGATTATGGCAGTATATTCTATTTTTATTTTGTGTATGGATAGAATTTGGGGTGTTTTTTTTTGATTTTAAAGTGAACTTGCTTCATTCCTATCCCAGAAGAAAAATTGCTGGTGACTAGAAGATGTCAGAATAGAGACAGACACTTGGGAAAACACAGAACTGTCAGGCTGCTTTATGTTTTAGGGGATGAGAGAAGAAGGTGTTGGGGTGAAGTTGTTAGTAGCAGTCTCACCATAAAGAGAGCAAGGGCACCACCTGCTGATTTAGAAACGTATTTATTTGGGTCAAGAAATTACTCTTCAAGTACTGCATTCAAAAACAAGTCAGGCCTACTAAACAAGCTGTACTTCTTCAGGGAAGCTTTCTCCTGAAATTGAAGCTTACAAAGGATGTGTTGGCAGTTGCCTGCTCACACCATGAAGTGGCCTGAAGCAACAGTCCTGGCCAGAAATGACTGAATATGGGATATTTGTAGAGTTTTGAAAGCAATCAAGAGCTTCACGCTTCTGTTCTGCTCTAGTACATGGACTCTTCCTCACCCAGGGCATCCAAATCTAACATTCACAACGTTTTCAGTAGATTTAATGGGTATTTGATAACCATTAAGTTAGTTAAGTCAGTTTACTCATTGACTTAATTAGGAATAGCATTTTCAGCATGAGGATGGTTTAGATCCTTTGAGGAGCTGGAGGTTATGGAATAAATAATTGCTGCTACCAGGTAAGGAAGACAAACTAGAGTTCAAACTGGTTTTTCAAAGGACCTTGTTTCCAAAATGCTCCTAGCTGAGAGAACCTGGGTTAGGACACCCCCAGCTTCACCAGCAAAAGGCATCGTTGACTTAGGCACAAGTTTGTCTTAAAAATACATGCAGGACTTCAGAAATTCAGCTGTTCTGGCAGCTCTGAGACAATTTGAACCAAGCAAACGAAACCCCCAGCTATAGAGTGCAATTAAAAAGTCTGAGCAGCAGCTTGGATCCTCTGAGTTAGAGAAGGCTGAAATTCTGCTCAGTTCTTAGATGCCACAAGAAATCACCCTACAGCCTCCTCCTCTTCTGAATATCAAGTGGCACACTGAGGATAGACATGAAGAGACATAACCAGGCTCTGGGATTTTATTGGCTGGGACTTCTGGGAGGACTGGCCATTTATAAATAAAATATCCACATTTCCATGAAAATGAAGAACCAGCACTAAAGAAAATGGCCATCCAGAGGCCCTCAGCTTCCTTCACCTTGCTCACCCACAAGGAAAATCATGAGATATTTTCATTTCTAGCCTGTATGATTCAGCTTTGAATCGTGCATGAAAAAAAATCCAAGGGAAAAGTGAAAAATGTATAAAAATTGATTGCTTCCCATGAAGTCAAGCAGATTTTTGTAACACAGAGTTCACATCCCTCAAGCATCAGATGTGCAACCCGTGTCCTGTCCATCAGTACCGGTTCTGACAAGGTAACAACAGAGGGGTCAATCCTGGGTCCTCTTTTCCCCCTTTGGAAGATGCTTTGTACATCTGAAAGATGTGCAAAACCCAAATAATCTAGGATTGCATCAAGCTTGTGCATTTATTGGTGGCTTATTAAAAAATTAATCCACTGCCGTAAGTTAACGCTCGCAACAAATCAGTAAAAACTTGTTCCTTTCCTTCTGTTTTTCTTATTTTTTTTACACAAATAGTTTTATTACAAACTTGAACTCTTGAGAAATACACACGTAAGAAATTACACAAAGGCCTTGGCATTTGCAATAAAAAAATCTTTTGGTATTGCATGGTAATAGTCTAGAAAACACTTTTGGACACAGTTGTGCTCAGACAATGGTATCATTGCATAGAAATGACTTAGAAACATTTCCGAGGCCACTTGGAAGAGTTGTGGGGTTTTTTTTGGCACAATATTAACAAAATTAAGGCCTTAGGCTTTTAAAAAATCAAGTCATTCAGTGTGTGAGTAGTGTTGAAAACCCTGAAAAATATTAAATACAGAATAAGGACTATAAGCTCAAAGCAGGATTGACTATAATAAACAGAAAGAGCTGTTAACCTGGGTTCAGTCTCTGTCACTTCAGCATTGAAATGGCCTATGCAAAATGAACATTTCACATCCTCTTTTGGCATTGAACATCTAATTCATGACACTGAAAAGAAGAAAACTCTTGTAAGCTTCTTTTGGAAACGATAAATCCAGAGCTCGATTTGCCTAATGGTCGATATCTATATAAATTACTAAAATATTTATATATATTTTTCTTTTTTTCTTGACCATTGCTGGATCATTCTTTATTCCACAGGAAAGTTTGTTCTACGACACGAAGAAGCTGCATAGTACCAACAGAGCAGAAACACCTCCTTGCCTATTTGGCCAACCAATTTGGCAACCTCTCCCAGATGTAGCCCCACCAAACCCACCAGCAAGGCTACAAAGAGAAGCAAAGGTTTGCAGGATGACACTCTAGGTTGTGAAAAGATGGTGATGTGTTGCTTAACCCCACTCTGGAATCCCAGAACTCTTGGTTTTTTACACCAGTATTGCTTTGTACAGAACAATAAGTACACACCCAAGAGTCTGGGGTTTTGAGACTCCTAGAGAACGGTCACAACAAACTTATCTGGGGAAGAAAAATGAATCTAAATCTATAATACAATAAGAAAGGGGGGGTCAAACAGTATAAGGCAGCACTGCATACCTCCTAGCACCTTTGCATTTGTTTTCTGGATAAAGGCTGACTTTTTATTCCCTCAGTGCATTGCATTTATATAAAAAAATACATACATTTGGCTGAAAAGTGCCACTTGGCATGTCAACGTTGGAAGCTTATCTTTGTTGTCTCTTCTCTTCTTCAGCAAGGACAGGGCCAGTAAAGCAGTGTGTGTTAGTTATGCAAGTTCCTAAAAGGCACTTTACTGTTTTCCTATTGGACAACAATGAGGTACATATGATATATGTCTAGGCTTCATTGCTGTTAAACGAATAGCACCATAATTGTGTGAAAAATTAGTCGAAATTCAAAAGTCATTATGTTTTCCTCATACAGACTTGACAACGGCTGACGTTGGAGCGCAGGTCCCCGGCCTTCAACGTGGAGGGAGTTGGTTTCCTACCAAAAAAATAAACCAATGGAAAGACCCATGAGCCGTGGCTGACAGCAGCAGTCGCTTTTCAGGCTTCTAATTGGCAACGAAAACTTGACGTGCAGCCAAAAGCCTCTCTAAGCTGTGCTGAATCATGAAGGTGTCCCTGAGTTCCCCAGTGTCTATTAGTCACTAATTATCACAAGATTAGTTTTCCACTTCCAGTTACTTCACAAGTCTCTTCTGTCATGAGGCTGGACGTTTTCTTAACCACAAGACACTACCTGGTTAATGAGCAGGGTGAAAACGTGCCAGAATTTGGGTTGAAAAAAGAGAAAACTGGGCCAAGACACTGAAGTCGTTTGACTGTGTATGAGTTTTTGGCTAATTCTTGTGATTTTAGAGAAAAAATGAAAAGCCAGCAAAGGAAATGATGTGATGTTGTATTGATTATGAGTTTATAGAAAACTGAGGAGTATCTTTTAATTGTGATAGTAGGACGGGTCCCTTGGTCTGGTATTATTTGATCCATTTGAGGTACAGCCTGTAGCCAGAAAAGGGTGTGCAGCTGCCAGGTCTCTGAGTAGGACTCAATGAATACAACCACCTGTAGTGCTGACTCCCCTAAATTTTCCTCTGAGCAGCCTTCCTCTTTTCCTAGGGAGCCACTGCTCACCCCAGTGTTGGCAAACGGGCTCTTGCAGCAGTAGCTTTTCTGGATGATGAGTTGATCACAGCCCTGGTGCTCAATTTTTCTACCTACCTAGTTGACAGCTATCTCATAGACCAACAGTCAAAACTGGCTGCACAACCTGCTTCACTCTGACTGAGACAGGCTCAGGAGCACTCACAGATTGGAAGAGATGGAGGGTACCAGGAGCAGCAGCCTGGACTGTGGTGGAAGAGGATGCTTGCTTGCCCTCCAAAGGAATGTCTGCTACTCAGGTAAGCTGTGCAGACATGGGAGCTGGGCTACAGGCTAACATAAAATACATATGGAACAAATTAGACTGTGTCAAATGTTTAGGGGACCAGACAAAGCTTCCTACCACTTAATATCCCTAATTAGAACCTTAGCAGGACTGAAGAAATGCCTAAAGCCTCCACCTTCAGCTGCATTTTCCTTCCTCAAACATTAAGGAAAGGTCAATAATTGTTCAGCTCACTCAGTTCAACACCTGCACTGTTTTCAACGGGTTCTGTTAGGTGCTAACAACAACTAGAGGGAACTTTATATTCCAGCTTAATTCCAGGCAGCACATCAGCCCGTCCCAGTTACGACTCGGTGGCTACAGCCAAACGTGGTGGAAACACATTGTCAGGTTGTTCTGAAAAGCAAAACACTAGGTACAAATGACACATTGTCAACGCTCACTGAAGGCACATTCATTAATTCCCCCCCCTCCCCAAACGATTATGATTTTTTTTCCCTTTTTGTTAAGAAAATCATTAACTGCATGCACTGAGCAGGCTGGGGCACAGCCAATACTTGAACCGTGTATGAAATTCAAACAATACTTCTCTTCTCCAGTCCAAGGCTTGACTGAGTCCCAGATCCTGATCAAAAATAAAACCCCATGGACTTACTTGAACATCTCATTCCTCTCTATAGTGGCGAGCCAGAAGCTGTAAGCATTTGCATAGTAATTGCAGGTGCCCCGGCCATGGCACTCAATGAAGGGAGCGCTGCGGAACTCCTCCAGGCAGGACCCAGGAGAGGCCAGGGCTTGGCCAGAGCCCTCTGCACCAGCACTGGTGTGCTACAGAGACACAAAAGCAGCAGTCAGAGAGGGACTACACCCCTTCTGCTACACCATCTCTTGCATAAGTATTTCTTCTCATGCCCTCTCTTGTGCCCGCCTGCTGTTTCGTCCCACGGTTCGAGGAGGAGCAAGAAGATGGAGCTGAAGGGATGGTGGTGATGTTCCACCAGCAACATCAACTCCAGGGCAGCAGCATGCACAGAAATCCTTCAGGGCTGAAAGAGGAGCCAAGCTCTCTCTCTGCTAGCCACAAGGCAGGGCCTGCTCTCCAGACCCAAAGACTTCATTGTCTTGCTATCCACATGGCATGGTTTGTATCCAACAGCCCAACCCAGTTCTCACCCCACATCACAGTGGCCTCCTTCTCATGGCCAAGTGCTAACAGCTTGGGGTCTGTGCTGCCTCTCACCCCATGCCCACACCTTGCCTAGGAAAGCAAAGCTGATACAGGCTGTGAGCATGACAGGAAGCATGCCAACAACTAACCATGATGGAGGAGTACAGGGTGGCTCTTCCAGGCCACCCCTTGGCCCTGTTTATTTTACTAATATAGCTAAAGCTTGAAGAAACTTGACAAAAGGCCAAAAACACCATTTGAAAAGTGAAGACTTAATAATAACCACAGGGGAAGAGGACAGGCACTGATAGCTGCCACTGTAGGAAGCTACAACAGAGATGGAAAAGGACAAGGGGAAATTATGCTGAAATCCTCCCTCATTCAGCACTGGGATCCTGTACCAGAGCTGCAAACAGAAGAGAAAGCTGTGTGACCTTCCCCAAAAAGTGGATAACTGCTTGCTATTGCATTATTCTCATTCAGCAACTAGCCAGAACCTTTCTAAAGTCACCAGAAAGGGTGTAGGTCTAATGCCCTCCTAAGACCTGAAGTGACACAGCCAGATATTAACTTTCCCAGAGGAGAAGTGGAGATGAAAGGCCTGACCCAAGTGTTCTCCTTGTGCACTCACCATGACAAAGGAGTAACCAATCCAAAGGGAACTCCAGCCTTCAGGACAGGGTGGGATCTGAATTGTTTGACTGTGAACAGCTATGACCATAGCAGGAGCTTCACACACAGAGCATCTGGAAAGACCAAGAGATGAATGACCTACATGCAGTTGAGCATTAATATTGCTTATTTCAGAAGTTACTTTCTTTAAAGAACCTTGAATTAGAAAATGCCATCTTCAAAACCATGGGAAAACCAAAATGTTTCATTTAGAAAAACCAACCAACTGGTTCTTTCTTTTTTTTCCCCTCATTTACTTAGGGACAGCTTAATTAGCAAGTCTTATTCCTATTAACCTTCCTAGGAGCAAAAAACTAAGAGACTCAGCAAGGATCTCAGCAAGTGGTCTGCTGTGATCAGAGACAAGGAACAGCAATTCATCCTCCTCAGCATAGCCCTGAGAAAGAGTCAGCTCCCTGGGAAATGCCTCATGAGGATGATCACATCTAATCTAATCTCACACAGACTCTTCCCCCTGAATTTTCCTTGAAAGTGGCTTTTATTTATATTCGTGGTCTTCATCCCCAGTAAGATATTTCTAGCAAGATCACTTGACAAAACAGCTCTTCAGGAAGTTATGCAGCACCAGTTATTTGACTTCAGATAAATTATTTATGGATCAGAACTTTTATTTCTTATATAACTCCTCAATTGGCTACTATGGTCAGCAATGAGGAAAATGATTCAAATACCTAAAACCAAACAGTCTCATTTCCATTATCAGAGCAGTGAAAAGAATCATGTACAAAAGTGATGAAGTTGGATTCTGGAAAATGCAGAGAAGCAAAGGAATTTATCATGAAAGCCTTCTATTTCTGACTTGTGAGGACTGCTTTCATACCTCCTGCCTTCATCTCTGCTGCAGGAGCAAGACAGTTATTTTAAGAAACACATCAAGGAAAGAGTAAGTTGAAAGAAGAATGGAAAGCTGCCTCTATTCTTGGCTGTCCTCTTGGCTTCAAGAGATTTCTGGTATTTCAGTGGAAGGCTTTACATGAAAAAAAAAAAAGTCCCACTTCTACACCTTTTCAACTTTTGGGCAGGGAAAACTGTTGGTTTCAAAGCCTCAACTCATGAAATGAATGGGAAGAATAGTCTCAGATTCCTTGTTGGTTTAAAAAATATGTGTTACAGTTATCTCTGCTATGGCTAAAAGAAAAACCCATATACACACACACATAGATTGATATATATTAATATACAGATATATTTTTATGGTTTCTATATTTTTTTTCTATTTTATTTTTTTATTTTCTATATTTATTTTCTATTTTTGTGGTTTTCTATATGCACAAGGTCAGGCAAAATGTTTTCAGGTGCCTACTAGAGCAAGAGTTTCAAAAGTGATTGTTAAAGGTTATTTTGGGTGCTCAATCAGGGATGGCGTAAAAGGAGCACAAATTTCAATGGTTGATCATTTGAATTTTTCTGAAAAAATTCACATTCTTTCCATTCACATCTCATGAACAGCCAAAAAAAAGGAAGACTACCAAAAAACTACAGTCTTTCCTGAGAACCTTTTCTCCATCTGCCCATCCATTTTCAAGGCACACCAATTTCTATGGCACTAACCCAGAGCAGAGAACTGCAGACACAAGATGGGAATCTACCATCCACAATAAATACCAAACATTTGGCAGTAGAGCCAAATACTTTTTAGAACACACCAAGATGTCCAGATGACAACCCACTGATTATTTGATTTGTCCTTTCTCTTGGATGGTACATAGAGACCCAAGAAAACAGTAACAGCATCTCCACTCCACTTTATACACCAGCAAGAGCTGATATAGATCAGAAGTGATGATGGGAACCACAGCAATGCCTACATCTATTCATAATCATCTAATTATATTGTCTGATTCTTATCTACCAGCAGTGGTACAGCTCTCCCTGCTCTTGCTCACACCTCTGCCTTCAGCACTGGCCATACAATGGCAGGACAGTTTTTGTTGGTGGCCTTCCAATTTACAATGGACCAAAAGTTCCACATGTTGGATTGACACAGGACAGTTAAATCTGATATGTGTCAGACACCAGATGAGAATCTGGAACCTCTAAAACAAATAGATGATTGATTTTGCAGCTGTTTGCTTTAATTCAGACAAGGATGGGTGCATTCAAGCTATCTCCAAAGCAATGGGAGAAGCTTGGTAGTCTACAGGATGATAAATAAAAGTAATAGTGGATGATAAATAATGTTACCATTCTCAAACAAATGGAAACTCAGCCCTAAAAACCTTCTAGCTAGGGCTAGTCAAAAACCGGAATTGTTCTGGACAAGGGATTGTGAATAAATTCAAACCTTTTTCCCCTTCAAAGTACATCACAGCTTTTGCAAAACAGCCTAAGGAAAACTTTTCATTCCAGTTAGACTCCAAATTGACACTTTGTTTGGTTTCCCCCTCCAAAATGGGTTTATTTTTGATCAAAGTCTGAACTGAAATCATGCACACTTTGAAACACTTCATCAAAGGGCCTCAAACTTTATATTTAAAGGCAGGACATAAAAATAAACAGATTAAAAGCCTTTTCCAAAAAAAAAAAACCACAAAGCCCCATAAACCCTTTGCACAGGCTTCATTATTTTACAAACTGAACCCCTACCTGCTGATGAAGGGTCTGATATTGTCCCCAGTGATAGGAGCCATGTTCATTGGCATGGGTTCAGGAGTGGAGAGCCAGTAGGAATAGTCATTCCTGGATGCAAAGTTGCACACGTTGTTGATGTTGCAGAATAAGAAGGGCATGGTACTGAATTTTCGGAGGCAGCTTCCAGCTGTGCCTGAAATGTCAAGTGAAAAGCACTTTTTTAACTCATTTCTTCTAAACCAAACACTTATTTCCAGGAGTAACCACAAAAACAGATGAGACTTGCTCTACAGGACCTAGTTCTCTCAGAAGAAGTGACTTCTCTTTGCTCCATCAGGAAGAAACAGGGCAAGGCAAGGAGTAGCCCAGTCTTGCCTGTAGAATTCTGGAGTTAATTTGGGTTGGAACAGATCTCTAGAGGTCTTCCATCCTAACTCCTGCCAGTTGGATCAGGTTGCTTGGGTCCATAGCCAGTTGAGTTTTGAGTTTGTCCAAAGAAGAGACTCAACAACCTCATTGGGTTTCAGTGTTTGAGCATCAGCATGGTCAAAAGGTTTTTATGTTTCAAAAACTTTACCCCATACCTGCATCCACTGCTGCTTTTGTCACTGAGCCCCTCTGAGAAGAGTTTGCTCCATGGAATGGAATGGAATGGAATGGAATGGAATGGGATGGAATGGAATGGGATGGAATGGAATGGGATGGAATGGAATGGGATGGAATGGAATGGGATGGAATGGAATGGGATGGAATGGAATGGGATGGAATGGAATGGGATGGAATGGAATGGGATGGAATGGAATGGGATGGAATGGAATGGGATGGAATGGAATGGGATGGAATGGAATGGGATGGAATGGAATGGGATGGAATGGAATGGGATGGAATGGAATGGGATGGAATGGAATGGGATGGAATGGAATGGGATGGAATGGAACGTCCTGTCCCTCCAAACCCTTGTGAACAGTCCCTCCCCTGCTCTCCTGTAGCCCCTCTCAGGCACTGGGAGGTCGCTCTAAGGTCCCCCCAGAGCCTCCTCTTCTCCAGGCTGAACAACCCATCTTTTCTACCCTCACTGCAGCCAGCAATAAAGGCCCCACCCAAAATTTCTGTTAAAGCTGGGAAAAGCTGGTTCCACCAGATTCTCCAGACTCCACTCGCCACCTTAGCAGCTCGTTGTATTCACTGTGGTGTATCAACATCTCCCTTGATCTGTGAGCCCCAAATCTGGGCTCTTCCTTGATCTGTGAGCCCCAAGTCTGGCCACACTGTCCCAGATGTGGTCCCACACAGAGAGCAAGAACAACCACCCTCCTTCTGCTGGTTGCACTTCCACCAGCAGAGCCCAGCAGGTTGGGCAGCAGGGAATGGGGTAGCTGTGGCAAGGGCAGCCAGTGCTGCTCACCAGGACTCCAGGTCCTGTCCTGCACAGCAGCTTTCTCACAGCCTCTGCTGCTGCTGAGTGAGCCATCAGTGCCCAGTTTCTTCTGTTGTGTGAGGTTATTTCATTCTAGGTGTACCCCTCTGTATTTGTCTTCTTCTCAGCTCTTTTCTCCAGCTTGGCCAGGTCCCTCTGAAGAGCAGCTGTGATTAACTGTCCCCCCCAATTCAGCATGACCCACACATTTGCTGAGACAGTCTATCCCATCACTCAATGAATAAATTCATTGAACAGCACTGGCCCAGTACTAATTCCTGAGGGACATCACTAATCCATGACCACCACTCAGATTTTGGGCAAAAAGATCACATCCCCCTGAGCCTAATGGACCCATCAATCTCCCACTGACTTCATCATCTGCTTGGCCAGCCCATATCTCACTCATTTGACTACAGAGATGCTATGGATGACCATGTCAAAGGCTTTGATAAAGTCTTTCTTCAATAAACTGACTTCACTGTCCACCAAACCAACCTGGAAGGCGTAATAGAGCCAAGAATAATTACACAGGTTTATTTTAAAAATGAAGGAAATATTTGGTTTGTAATGAGTGCTAATTGGATTCTAATTTGGTCTCTACTTACCCAGGTCTTGGCCATGTGCTCTTTCATTGCCTTGTACATAAAGCAAGGAGTAGCCATGGTAAATCAGCCTGGTTCCAAAGGGACATGATGGTTCTTCAGTGGTTTGACTGTGTCTGGTGACGAGGAAGCCATGAGCAACGGATGGTGCCCCTGGGGGGCCCATAGCCCCAGGCAAACCTTCAGGGCCAGGTGGACCAGGCACTCCTCTGGGCCCTACAATACAGAGAGTCTCCTTTTACCTTTGTACTCTGCCTACATAACTGAAAAAGTGAAATGAGACCCATTCACACCTCATTTCCTATGTTAGTTTTCTAGGAAGGAATCGACTTTGAAAACTCCTGGGCTTACCTGGAGGACCATAAGGACCAACTTCTCCTTTCTGCCCAGGTTTGCCATCAAACCCTGGGCTGCCAGGTGGTCCAGGGACACCTGAAGGTCCCGTCAGCCCTGTTGAAAAACAAGGACTAGTTATTACTGGCTATTATCTCATTTTAGTTCTGACTTTATGGCTTTTAATACACAGCAAATTTCAAGGCAATTTGCTCTCTCTCTGATGAATTTACAGTTGGACTTGATGGTCTTAAAGATCTTTTCCAAGCTAAATGATATCTAGAGCACATATATAGGTTACTGTAGCTGAAGTAACTATGGTAGAGAAGAAGAGAGAAGTAAGCAGAGGGTGTGCTTCTAAAATAACTACTATTCCCCTGCCATCTGAAAAGGAAGGGCAGCAATCTCTTCCCTCTCTGCTTATCACATGACTCAATCAAAAACAGACCATCAAAAGTAGGGTCATGAAGAGTAGGGAGCCCAGTATTCTCTTAGCTCCTTCCCAAACAAGTTTCCAGACATATACTTTGTCTTCTCTCTGTCCATTTTCTAGGGATGCTTTGAGTCCAGCAACTCTGACTTTGAGAAGAGAAGAATTTGACAGCATCAGCCCCACACCAACCCTTGTGTAGCCCATCAGAAGCTTCAGGGAGCCAGAGCTGTCCTTTTCCTGACCACTCACAAAGCAACACTCTGTTGATGTGTTGAAGGGACTAGAGAACAGGGACACATTCCACCTGAGCAAACCCAGGCTGTGTCCAGCCACGGAGATCATTTCATAGCTATTTCCTGAGGGCCAGAAGCTGCAGAGTTGTAACTCCACCTTTGAGAGCAAACCTCCATATCTATTATATTAAATATAAAGAAGATCTGATGCCCCACTGGAATTCCCCATCATCTTCCCATAAAACAAGCAGGAACAAAGTTCTCCCACAGAACCTCTGAGCTCCCACTCTGTGTCCCATCATTCTGAAGGACATGTCCTTGTCCCAGTAGCTCCTTTGTCTTACCTTTGCTCCATTCTCTCATTCCCTAGTGTGGTTAATTCTTGCAGTGCACCTTTTCTTTACAAAAATTGCAGTGTGTGGGCTAAGAGATGAAATCTAGGACTACAGAACAAGTTTTCTGGGACTTCTTTGGATGAGCTTCAAAAAGAAGGACTCTTCCTTGTTGTTGATACAATTTAAGGGGCTTATAAAAGGCTGGATAATATTATCCCCAAAATCTTCTAGTGTCTAGCCTACCATGAGTCTATTTTGACATTCATTACAATGTATTTCTACTGGCAAGTTACAAACTCTCACCTTGCTGTCCTTTGGGACCTGGGAGTCCTGGGAATCCTTTGAGACCAACTGGTCCTACAGGGCCAGGTAAGCCAGGATCCCCCTTAATAAGCTGAAAAGCACCTGGTGGGCCTGGTGGGCCTTGTAAACCTGCCAAAATGAACACACAAAACCAGCACAAATTTAGTGTTGCACCATAAAGAAAGTGAGAAAACCATGTTACCTTCCATGATGATTTTTGTAGTCAGAAAACAGAGCCTAGAGCTTCAAAGTGTCCAAGACACTATTATGTGCATGAAGTAGAGACAAACCCAACGTTGGCTGAAGGTAGAGGACAAGAAGGTTCCAGCCACAATGGAGGAACCTTCTCAGAGAACAGACAGAGCCTAGAGCTCCAATGTGTCCAAGACAATATTATGTGCATGAAGTAGAGCCAAACCCAACGTTGGCTGAAGGTAGAAGACAAGGAGGTTCCAGCCACAATGGAGGAACCTTCCCATCTTCCACCCAAGAGGACAGAGCAAGCCCACAGATGGAGCTCTGAGCAGAAGCACTGCGACCAGGTTGGGCAAACAAGGAGCAGCATCTGTTGGGAGTGGTGGGGGCAGTTTGGGCTCAGCAGAGCTGTGACCTCTGCCCATCGTTGGGGTGCTGTCTGCTCTGCTCACCAGCAGGCTCAGGCTGCAGCCCCAAAGGTCACACCAACTAACTGAGGGCTGTGCAAGTCTACCCAGAAGGTCTCCAGGGAATGAGAAGGATGACATCTTTCAAAAGAATTACTATTTTGTAAGTGGACCTTTTTTCTAAGGATTGTAAGGAGGTTGTGACCTGCTGAAAGAAAATGGTGGCCACCACCACAACTGCAAGACTGTGGCTGAAGTCAACATGGAAGCACCACAGCCCATCGTTGGTGATGTCTCCACCCAAACAGACCTCCCAATGACTGAAATAGCTGTCCAGACCTTGGACTATGGAGTTCCCTCAGCCAGCTGAGTGGTGCAAGCAAAGGATGCCATCCAGAGGACCTTGGCATGCTTGAGGAATGGCCCAATATGAACCTCATGAAGTTCAGCAAGGCCAAGTATAAGGCCCTGCATGTGGGTCAAGGCCATTCCCCAAATCAGCACAGGCTGGGGGGTGAATGGATTGAAAGCAGCCTTGCAGAGAAGGACTTGGTGGCTGGAAAATTGGATGTGAGCCAATAATGTGTGCCCACAGCCCAGAAGGATGATTGTGTCCTGGGCTACATGAAAAGAAGTGTGGACAACAAGTCAAGGGAGGTGATTCTCCCCCTTTGCTTTTGAGATCCCACCTAGAGGACTGTGTTCAACTCTGGGGTCCTCAGTATGAGACAGACATGGACCTCTTAGGGTGGGTTACCCAGGGAAGTTGTAGCTCCTCATCCCCAGGAATGTTCAAAGTCAGGTTGGATGGAGTGTTGAGCGACCTGATCTAGTGGAAGATGTGTCTGCCCATGGCAGAAGGGTTGGACTAGTTGACTTGAGTCTCTAAAAGTCCCTTCTAGCCCAAACCATTCTGTGTTTCTGTGGTTCTGGGGCCATCATTTAAAGATTCTAATCACAACAAAACTTCAGTATTGATTTTTCAGAGCAGGAGATAAGTACATCCACTCCCTACCCAATACTTAAATCTAATCTGACCATTCAATGAAAGGGAGAGAGAGAGATCCATGGATTAGTCACAAATATCCATCATAACAACAATATCTGGGGAAAAAAAGCCAGTCTTTATATTATACCTTTGGATCCAGGAAGACCTTGGTCACCCCGCTCACCCTTAAGGCCTGGGAAGCCTGGAGATCCCTTTGGACCTGAAGTCAAAGGAAAGATTTACATGAATATTCATTTTTTTTTTAATTTAGAAGGATATATGCAGAATAAACATATTCCATCCCATAAGCATGTAAGAGCTGTGAATTTATTTGCTCAATTAACTTGTTAACTGTTTCAAGAACAAGGTACCAACAAGAGCACCAAGTCCCCAAAGAAACGATAACTGAAAACAAATTTCTCTTCCTCTAATATTATTCTCTAAATTTTGAGAATTAAGGGTTTTTTTCCCTATTAATTGCATTTTTTATACACAAAGTGTTTTCCTGTATGTGATGGTGACAGCAGAAGCAATTTAGTCAACAATGGAGACATCCTGAGCTTGTGTTTCCTCAAATACAGCTGCAACATTTGCCTCTTCAATTCCCCAGACAATCTGGAAGACTCTTGGCTGGTAATGTCCAAAAAATTGATTTTTCTACCCAGTTTTTAAAGCAAGTGCACACTTAAAACTGGCAAAGCAATAGGCAAAAGGCAAAAAAAAACTTCATAAAAAATCTTGATGTTCCTGGATGCTTTTGGATGCAGCTTTCAACGTCCTGCTTCAATAACTGACAGAGTCGAGCTACTCTGAGCATCATTTTTTGAGAGAGGGAGGATATGAAAGAAAAATCTCTGCATATTTTTTAGGAATATGGTAAATTTTCTTCTCACCTGGAACACCTGGAACTCCTGGAGGTCCCAGCTCACCTTTTTGACCAATATCTCCTGGTAAACCAGGACTACCCTGTATAAAAGAAAATATGAAGCATAGTTATCCTACACCATTATGAGATGAGTCTCAAATAGGCTGTGTATTTTTGGAAACCTATACAAAAAAATGAGAGAAAAGCCATCAAATTTAAGGAATGGTTACTCTCTATCATGACTAGATGAGAAGCTTCTCCTAAATGAACAAGGTTTTGTTCCTATTAAACTACTTTTTGCCTCCCAAAGATACTAGATCAGAATAGGGTCTCACGAAGAGTATAGCTAATAAAAAGGCTCTCAACTATAGATGATATTGATATCAAATACATCAAGAAGCACAAATATCAGTAAATATTAATTTCAGTGCAGACCCAGCTGCTGGTTGCTAGTTAGGCAATGAAATGTGGTAATTCTAGACCACAGCAGACTTGAACACTTCCACATTCACCTGTGGAATGAAATTAAATGTGCTCAACCATTCATAATCCTCTGAAGACACTTATTTTTCAACAGGGTTAAAATATTCAAGGACTTACACACAATGCAAACTCCTCCCTCTCCCTTCATTATTATGTTGCAAATTGTTCTGAAATTAATAGGAACAAGCTCGTTGTAGCTTCATTTCAAGGAGAACCAAGCCCATATTTCAAAAGACTCTGTAACCAGGCATTGAAATGACTGCAAATTCCCTTTCCTTCTTCTCTCTGTTGCAGATCATCTGCAAAAAGCTTTGAAGTACAAAGTTTCTCCCTGGCTGAAGGTAAAGGAAAGAAACAAAACCCCTTTGTCAAGTAACCTACTGAACATCTCATCAGATCTGAGAGCAGCAGAACAGACACGTGCAGTGATTTTTCATTTCATCTAAGTTGGGGGTTTATATTAAGAATGGCTCCCTACAAACATCCAGCCCTGACAGATTCTGATGCTGTTTTAGCAGAGGACTTCGTAGTGTTGGCTGGATGGTTGGACTTGATGATCTTGGAGGTCTCTTCCAATCTAAAGGATTCTATGATCTAATTCTTTCCACTGACTCTCAAGGGAGAAGAGAGGACTAGCTCAAAAATGTGTGTCAGCAGTGAGACTTCACACAGCAGAACCTCAGAGTGGAAAGGGAGGTATCAATGAAGGTTCCTTGTTTTCTTTCAGTCATGAAGACATGGCCCATGTGAACTCCTTCAAGTCCTAACACATGAGTTTCTGTAGCACCAACCAGGAGGGACAACGTTCATTCAGGAGACAGTCACGAATCACAATCTCATTAAAATGTTTTTTAAAATATATTTTTTAGGTTATAATTATAAAACTGATCGATTTATAATATAAATTGATTGGAAGCCTTCCATCAAAATACTTTTCCCACAAGAGTGTGCAGTTTCATTAACTTTTTTTTTTGTGTTTTCCCAGTCAGACCTAAGCTTGGCAAACAACATTTTGGGTTGGATCTGCTCCAAGTGAAACAAAACTATTTCAGTTGGTGAAAAAAAATGTTGATTTTCTCATTTCAACATAAAAAGGCACAGATAAATCCACAGGATTTGCATTTCATGGTCTGATCTCTGCAGTCTCTTTTTTTTTTAAGGGATTTTTGGACAGGCTCTGTCACCCACGTTGTAACCAAGTCTTTGTTCTGATTGAGGTTACCATCTACCTGGAGCAACTCAACTGTAACCAGGGCAGGAGCATGTCACAGTGGGGAGGATGAAGCCATTAGAAACCCATCTTAATATGGATCATGGAAGTTTAATATTGAAATAACTCACTGGAACTCTTCACGATGAGTTAACAACCCAACACTAAGCATTGTGGCTCAAGGAGAGCAGAACATTTTCTTCTGACTGAAGACCAAAATCCTTTGGCCTTTCCCATTCAGCTTGTGAAAAGCTCTCTGCAGAAGTATGGCAAATTCTTAAATTAGGGGGAAAAACACACTGGGATGTTATTTGTTGATTTGCTGCCTTCAAAGATGATGATTGCTATGATGATACAATTAATATGCTATGAAATGTAAATCCTTCATGTCTCTGGGAAGTGACCCCTGGATGCAGAGAAGGATGCAGCAGATCTCTGCATTATCAAGAATAATGTGGATCTTTTAAGTACATTATCATTATCCTGCTTTTCACACCAGGAACTTAGTCCTGCATCTTCCTTCTGTACAACATGAGTTGTTGAGTCACACTTTCCTACATTCTTAGTCCTTCTTCCATAAATTTTATCACCATTTTTATTATTAATAATATTATTTCCACGATTATGATCACCACTATTTTTTATTATTATTATTATTATTATTATTATTATTATTTTAGTAGGAAAAAGGAAATGTAAAGCTAAAATACAGAGTGTATTTTTCATTGTGGGAAGAAGGCAGCAGAGCCTGGAAGGAAGAGCACAGAAGACCAACTATTCTTGGTGACTGTCCCATTCCACTTCATTTTCCCTAATATACAGAAAAGGGACTGATTTAGATGAGGGAAAATGAATAATACATGTCACCAGTGTATTAATAGTATTGCCTGTTTGTATTTCCAGATCAGCAGCTACATTTCATGGCTGACAGCACTGGGGTTGTGCACTTTATTTGAAAGGTTTCATAACAAAACCAAACACTTCAGGTATTTTCAGAGGGCAATTTATTGTGAAATATGCAACCTTTAAAATTAAGTGCTAATGCATTTGCAGGATTTATGGGTGTGCTGCAGCCATCCTGTGCTGTTAATACACTGTAAATTATGTTCTGGGTGTTGTATGTTGCCACTCACTATCTATAAATTTCTAATAAGTTCATTATCTCACTGGGGCTGATTCGTAGGCAGCCTTTAAAAGGAGAGAATTGAAATGTTTTCAAGCTGACTTTCCATCATCAGTGAGTCCAAAGGCACTTTGAGCATGAAGTATCATACTGTTGAGTGAGAAACATCTATGATTAATATACCCATTAATTACAAGACCCAGCTTTCAGCAAATACAGAGAATACTGAAAGTAACTTACTGGCATTCCCTGGAAACCTGGGTCACCTTTGATTCCTGGACTCCCAGGAGTCCCAGGCCAGCCACTGCTCCCCTGCTCTCCCTTGGCACCTTTCACACCAGGCAGTCCTGGTGGCCCTGGTGGCCCAGGTAATCCTAGGAGGGAGAAGAAGAGTGTATTTAGTGGCAAAGTTGGTTCAGAGCAGTGTCTGATGGAGGATGAGCAGAATCAAAGGTATTATTGTAACAACATCTCAAGAAAATCAGCAGGAGAGCCTGTTGCAGGGAGGTCCATACAACTCCTCATCTGGCTGGACACCTACCCTTCATCAGCCTGTGGCTGATGGAAAGCAGGGGAGGGTTTTCTCCAGTGTTGAAAGGGGAGTTAGAAAGACTTCTGGACAAAACCAACTGCCTGAGGACATGCTGTCAGCCTGCTTGAGGACATGATGCCAGACTGCCTATGAAAGGGAGCTTCTCCCTCATCTCTGAGGTGATAAGCAAGGATATGCAATACTGGTTATGTCATTAACTAATTGGCTGAGCTTTGATCAACAGCAGTACGTTAATACTGAAGATAAAGAATTACCTGGAAGGCCAGGCTGGCCTTGGGGTCCTCTGTCTCCTTTAGGGCCCTCAGTTGCACTTCCTGGTAGCCCAGGAAGACCTTGGTTGCCCTTCGGTCCTGGTGGACCAGCATATCCTGGTTCTCCTTTCAGACCTGGGATCCCAGGACTCCCTGGGGATCCTGGAAAACCCACGTCGCCCTTTGCACCTGGGATTTGAAAGAAACCCCAAAAGAGGATTAGAGAAAGGATGACAACCATGGAAATCTTCTGCTGTATTATCTACTCATGACAAGCTTTCTTCCTTGAGAAAAGGAAGATGATAGAAGTGTAACAATAAGAGATATAAAACATATAAAGAACACCACCCCTGGCTCTTTGCCTGGACAGAACGAGGTCTTTAAATCCTGGACTTGTTTTCTTCAAGCTACAACACATTTGGAACACACGTGACAGGACAAGGGGGAATGGTTTTAAGCTAGAAAAGGGCAGATTTAGGTTAGACATTGGGTAAAAGTTCTTTAATATGAGGGTGGTTGATCACTGGAACAGTTTACCCAGAGAGGTGGAGGAGGCCCCATCCCTGGGGACATTCAAGGTCAGGACTGATGGAGCAAGCTGACCTAGTTGGAGATGTCCCTGCTTATTGTAAGGGGGCTGGACTAGATGACCTTTGGAGGTCCCTTCCAACCCAGACATTCTGTGATACTATGAAATGATGTCAGTTGGATATCTATTCACTCTAAAGTCAGATATCTTAAAATGAGCTGTGCTTATAAAATGAGAGACATGGATGAGGTGGGAAAAGTGCTCTCACAATCCAGCATCTCACCATACTGAGCTGGAAAATCTGCTTATTAAAATACATCCTCTAACAGTAGGGCTTTCTCAGCAACTTAATGACTGTTAATCACTCTGAGATGGTAAACAGAAGTTACTGTGAAATTCTGGTTTCTCTCTTTTGATTGTCCACCAAACTTTCCTGTATTCATAGGATGAACAAGTGAGGTAGGGCATTGGTGTTTCAAGCTAGAGAAGTTCCAAATCTGCCACGTCCTGTTAATGTCACAGTTGGACTAATTGAATCTTGGTTTTCTGGATGTTTAAAATTGAAAATCCTTTTGTGCACAATTTCCTTTCTCAGCAGCACTTATTTCTTCACTGCTGTATCTATTGCCTGGTCTATTGTCTACTAGACCTATTGTCTAGTGCCTAGGACACACTTATTTCATCAAATGGAGCATGGTGCTTTACAGACACCTTGAAAAAGCACTGACTCAAGCCAAATAAGCTGTTGTCACAGCACAGAGGAGTGACACACTCTGTGAAGACCACAAATGGTCTTGAAATTGGGAAAGCTACGTGGCTGTACCCAAGCTAGGAAGTCCTGAGTCTAGGTAGTAGTTTTTCAGGAAGAACTCATCAGGTCTGTGCTATCCTTTGCACCTCTGCACCATGTTCCTGTGAAGATCTCAGACATGCTCTGCTGAGCTCTGGAGAATAAATGTTTTAGCAATGAATAAAATGGCCCCTGGGCTGCACAACAGACTCAGGTAAAAAATAATTTCTGTGGTATTTTGGCCCTGAAACTAGAATCTTTTGCTGGCTGGTCCACTGAGCCTCACTAGACTTTGATTCTAGCAAAATTAGTAGGAAAACAGAAATATTTGGGAGTCAAAAGCACAGCACACAAATAAAGGAGCTAATTATATTACCTCAGCACAGCACAGCTTGCAGTAAATTCCACACTATGAATAATTACCCATTTTAGGGCATAGCTAACTCATGGCCAAGATGCTGCCACTGTAACAGAAGTTAGTATTTGAGCCTCTCAGAGTTTCTGCCTGCTCTGGAAAGGTAGAGCACGTAAAAGAATGAAGTACAAAGTCTGAATGGAAGCATTATGTTGATAGAATGTTGGTTCATAGAGGTTTTGTGCTTCTTTAAAGAAGTGTTTTACCTTTATCTCCCTTTGCACCTGGAAATCCTGGAAGTCCTCTACCTGGAAGACCTATAATTAGAGGCAGCAAAAAATTAGGAGATGGGACAGCAGTTAAATTTAACCTGTAATGAATAAAACTCTATTAAACAAACATAAAAGCTAAATAAATAATTCATGCAGCAGTTCTTCAGGGCTGAAACTGTCTTTGCTTGTACCTAGCACAACAGGCCCTGTCTGACTGAAAGCCCCACCCTGAGAAAAGCCAAGCCTGCTCCATTATCTCACAGCTAAGCTGCAGGCTGAGATTAATTCCCAAACATGCCCATTCTTTAAAGCATTGCCAGCTTTTTGTGAAAGAAATTCTTCCAAGATTACACTGATGAAACAGAGTTGCTCCTCTGAACGATCAGCTTTGCAATGCTGGATGATGGCTTGCAAGACACCACGCCAACTTTATTGTCCAAGGTTCCACCCAAAGCACCCCAAAGTGAGCACACCCCTCTGCCAGTTGCTCTTGTGGAGCATTTTGGTGCCCTGTCCACTCAACATGAGAGCCACGGTACCTTGTTCACCCTTTGCACCAGCAGCACCTGGAATCCCATCATAACCAGGTTCACCCTTCTGTCCAATGGAACCAGCAGGACCCGGCAGACCAGGTTCACCTGAAAAAATCATTCCCATTTTCATTCCATCCAGGAAGCATCAGACTTCTTGTAACAGTTTTTTTTTCCTCTAAATAAAGATTTAACTTATTCTTTTATTCCCACAGAGACCAAGGAGAGGCTGCACGATGACTCTGGCGTGACCTGAGGTGACTTTGGAATTAAATCAGTGTGAGACTGGGCTCAAGTATTGCAGGTTTTGACATAGTTCCCATGAATTGGAGTGAGTTTAGAGAGCAGGGACCTGTGAAGAGCCCAGCCCATTGTCCAAGGACATGACTATTGTGGACTATGAGATTAACAAATGGACCAATAAATATCTGAGCCAGAATGAAAGCAGAATGCCACAATATTTGTCCCAGCTACTGCCTGGAGGGGAACGATGCTTTAAGTAGAATTTGATGGCCTTTATCACTTCTCTACCTGGTTCTCCTTTTAAACCTGGGATGCCACTTAAGCCAGGAAGTCCTTTTTCCCCCTTTTCTCCATGGCTGCCAGGGCTCCCTAAAGAAAAGAAGAAGACAGGGAAGGGTTTATACGCAGGATTTTGGGGTAATTCACATGAATTTTGCCCTGTTCCATGAAAGAATAAGCACTTGCCTGGAAATCCTGCCATGCCAGGGGATCCTTTGGGACCTGGGGCACCTGGCATTCCAGGAATTCCTGCACTCCCCTTTTCACCCTTCTCTCCAGATGAACCTGGACTACCTGTTCTTCCTGGTTCTCCCTAGAAGGAGCAGCACACATTAGAAAATCCACATATTAATCCTGAAACATTTCTGTTTGCAATGGTTACCCCTCTAACTCAACAGACTTAGAAAGAATTTCATTCTTCCATTCAGAAACAAAGCAATTTAGGATTAAACTTGTCATTAAATCCCACTATTAGAATTATTGACTTTTCAAGCTATTGCTAATACCTACATATGAAAATGGGTCGTTTTCTATCCATTTTTATGTCAGTTTTTTACAGTCTTTCCTGAAATAGCCTCTTAACTTACTTACTACACTTCATCACCTTCAAAAAAACCATTTTTTAGGTCTTCAGTAAGTTTGCTACCAGATTAGTGAGCTTTATTTTTACAGTTTTTCCCTCATAAATTCATGATTACTGTCATTGTACAGCTAGAAAAAGGAACGTGAAACAAAGGAGGATCCTATTAGAGATTAAATTAACTTTGCAGACAGTATTAATATAGTCCTTTTTTCAGGAATATATGAGCATTTTCTAGGGTTTTTTTGCAGCTTCCCAGTATCTCTGTAAAAATACACCACCCCTGTTTCAGTGTGATTAGTTGTTCTGTTTGTAAAGAGGCCTTTTTAATTGATTGACTTTTAGTATTTTTAAAAGTTCTTCCCCTCCCTCCCACTTCCAGCACTGTAAATTAGCCTGTTCTGAAGAGATTGTGTAAGAACCCTGGAGATAATGGTCCCATCAAGCAGCATGCATCTCATCCTGGGCATATGCACACCTTTCAAGTTTCTCCTCTGGTATTTAAATGAGCATATCAGAAAACTCAATAAAATACCTGAAAGGCCAAGAGTATTTTTACAAATGCAATACTTAATACAGAGACAATCAAATCCTGTAAATACCTTCTCACCAGGAGACCCTGGAAAGCCAATTCCAGGAAAACCTGGTGCTCCTTTGTCTCCTTTTTCACCTTTTTGCCCAGGGAACCCTGGTGTGCCCGGGGAGCCTGGGACTCCTGGCAGACCCTTTTCTCCAGGTGTTCCTAGCAAGAGAGAAGGAAAAATGGGTATATCAGAATTAGGGGTAACCTAGCAGCCTTCACAATGATTTTTCAGTGTTGCTTCAGCTATTCAGAGAGAGAAAAGCAACCTAACTCACTAATTAGCTAGCAAATTAGCTTTTGAGATGCACTTTCTAATTAGGACAGTTTACTAGAAGACAAACTCTCCTTGTAAGAGAAGGTTTGAATCTTGGATTCAAAGTCAACAGAGATTTTGCTAAAAAATCTGATTTGAAGAAAAGTTTATATTGATTTGGATAATTTCTAACAGGGCCACAGTGACAAAGGGACTCTGCTGTAGCAAATTTTCCTGTCCCCTTTTGCCATTTGAGTCTTTCTCCTTGGATTTCCTACTACCCTAAGCACAAGGTCATCTGAACACCAAGTGTTCACCCAAGGCAGATGAAGAGGTAGCTCTTGAAAAAATTGCCTGTTTGCCACCAATACACAAATCCCACACATCCAGCTGAAGGATTTTCATATAGAAACTTAGGGAAGCAGCCTATTAGTTGTGTATCACCTCAGGAGTGAGAAAGTGAGGTCCCAAAAGTGTGGAGTTCAGACAGTGCATCAGTGCAGCTGTCAGAGAGCTCCACCAAGACATCTCCACACAGGTCTCTCATCATGTTCTACAGTAACTTGAGGAAAAAGAAGAATAAATCCCCAGCAACCAGTACCTGGCAAACCCATTTCACCAACTGATCCTTTTTGTCCTGGAACTCCTGGATCTCCTGGGTACCCTGGTGGGCCCTGATCACCTTTTGGTCCTACAGACAGCAAAGAAATGAAGAGTTCCATTAGTTAATGAGATGTAAAACACTTGATGAACAACCTCTCTCTGTTGCTAGCTTCAAACATACCTGGAAGTCCTGGAGTCCCAGGTTCACCATCTTTCCCTGGAATTCCTGGTTCTCCATATTCCCCCTGTAACCCTTTTTCTCCTGTTGCTCCATGGTCCCCTGGACACCAAGGAAACACACTCAGTGAGATCAGTTTTATCAGATTTTCCTGTACTGCCATATAATAATCCTTCCAGTTAATTTTTGATCACTGTTGCTGAACAAGGAAATGGCTGAATTCAAGCTTCATAGGTTGTACAGTAGAGTCACACTTGAGTAAAACAACTCTCCAGTCCCTAAACCAGGGTTTCAAACTATTAAAGTCTGACAGCTGTCTGTGAAAATTAGAAAACAAGTTACATCTGTAAAAAAACCTGCAAACAAACTTGTGTTTTAGGTTAATGAGTTACTTGAGAACCCTCAGACTAACAAATTCTCTAACAAATTAGAAAACAAGTTACATCTTCAAAAAAACCTGCAAACAAACTTGTGTTTTAGGTTAATGAGTTACTTGAGAACCCTCAGACATCAAGTGTGAAGAGAAATGATTGATTGGATTGCTCTCTGTCTAAAAAGGTCCATGAGTAAAACAACTCTCCAGTCCCTAAACCAGGGTTTCAAACTATTAAAGTCTGACAGCTGTCTGTGAAAATTAGAAAACAAGTTACATCTGTAAAAAAACCTGCAAACAAACTTGTGTTTTAGGTTAATGAGTTACTTGAGAACCCTCAGACATCAAGTGTGAAGAGAAATGATTGATTGGATTGCTCTCTGTCTAAAAAGGTCCATGTGAATAACCAGTTCACAGCCAGAAATCTGCTGTCTCCTCAGTTCTATGGAACCCTAAAGCATCTTCATCATTCCAGGAGGCTCCATCTCTCATTTTGTAGTGTGCCTCTTCTCCAGCTTTAAGGTCCAAGCTTTTTGGCCATGCCCCTTTCTGTTAGTGTTGTAGATAGCTGCAGGACAGTAGATTACTGAAGACAGCTCCCTGAATGCTTTTAAATAAGTGGATTTTATTAAAAACATCTCAAGATATCACAACCCAAACTTTTTTCATTAAAAATCACTCACAATCTTCCATAAAAATATTGTGTCATTCATGCACAGTTTGTACTGGAGCTTTTTAAAAGCTTCTTTCTGTGCATGGAACCAGTGTACCTCATTTGGATTTCTGGAAATAAAACTGATTATCAAACAGTCAACCTACAGGCCAACAGTAGATAAGAAAGTAATGGAGAAGAACCTATCTGGATTTGTTTCAAGGCTTCTCATACCACCAGATATATATAAAGATCAGAAAGAAATTAATTCTTATAGGCTGGGAGCCTCATGAAATGCAAAAGTGCTCTCAGAAGCTGCACCTCAGCTTCTCTATGTCCTTCTTTGTTCTTCTTATGTTCTTCAAGGTCTTCTCCTGCCCTCCCTGGCTGTCCAAGCTGGGAGCCTGGGCTTCTCTGAGACCCAGTGGGGACACACGAGCCCAGGTCTCCCTCTGACAAGTAGTCAGGACACAGAGGTAAGAGGTATCTAGATTGGGAAACTCTCCTGCTCCCAAAATTCAACTACATCATAGTTTATAGGTGGAAAGGAGTCTCAAGTGCTCTGAACCCAGCAGAGAACATAGTGATGACATCTACAGATGAGACTAAACTGGGAAGGCTTGAAAAGAGGACAGGATTAGACTGTAGAAGGATTTTGAAGAGCTGGAATAGAGGTTGAAAATCAACATCATGACATTCAAGATGTTTAATGCACTGCATATATGGTGAGGAGGAATTAAAAGCATGCTTGCAAAATTAAAAATTATTCCAGAAATAAAAGACTGAGAATTATAGCTGAGCATAAAGTCAGCTGCTGTTTCAAGACAGGGAAATTTCATTCTAGCAGGGTCTGAGTTGAAGTACTTCACTTGTTTCAGCTCTAACAGGACACAGCCAAATTGGGGAGAAGCCAGAAAGGGTAACAAGGATGATAATTATTTCAGAAAAGATGATATAAAATGAAAGGCTGAAGGATTTGGTTGAGGGAAATGGAAGGCTACATGATCTTGGTAGCCCACTCCTAAGACCTGCACTTCTATTTTGGCTTAACTCATTATTTAAAAACTCTCACAGGGTTTTAAATAAAAATTAAAGCATAGTAAGAAGAGGTCAAATATAAAAAGATATAAAATAGACACTATGTTTTCTCTGAAAACAAAAACATGACAGAAAATGATCTTAACTCAATTTTCATGTAGCAGTAAAAATAAAAATCCAAGAATTGTCTAAAAAACCCCTAATATCTCTACCAATATTAATTTCTAAACAGAAAGCTGATTGCCTATTGCATATCTCTAGATGTTTCTCAATGTTATCTTGTGGTATCAGTGGCACACACGTGTTTCTCTCCTGAAACTTCTTCAGGTCACAAAGTGTGCCAAAAAAGGCTGTGGGCTTCTTTTTTTTTACAGCATCAGTTGGTTTCCACAGCCACAAAGTTTCCACTCTCTCTATTTTACATATTTTACTCTGCTTTCTGCTTCTAAAATTTCTTTTGAGAGAGTTATAAGAGGTAAAATGAATTTTAGAAGGAAAAACTGCCACGTCTTCCACCCAACCCAAACCCATTCTGTCCCTGACTCATCTTTGTCCCTGTGGATTTGAAAGAAAAAGAGCTGCATTTGTGGTGTGAAATCCTTTGTTCTGTGAAAAAACTGTTGGCCAAAGCTAAGACAGAGCTGAACAGTGTAGGGGTGGCAATGACACTCATCCACAGGTAGAGACTGAAGTTACCTTTCTCTCCTTGATCTCCCTTTTGGCCTTTGAGACTAACCATGTCCATGGTGTCCATCGTTCCAGGTTCTCCTGGGAGACCAGCTTCACCTTTATCTCCTTTGACACCAGGGTCACCCTGTGGCCCGACCACACCTTTGAAACCTTGGCTACCTATAAATAGCACAGAATAATAGAGTGGCATATAAAACTTTGTAAAGGTAGTTAGTAGAGAAAAAAACAAAGGAAAATAGCTATTTAGTCAAATTCTGAGCATCAAATAGCATGTTCTGGATCATCTCCTTTACCTCACATGAAGATTTTTTTATAGGAGGGCTTCACAACAGCTCTGTCAAAAAAGTTGACTTGCTTTTCCCTCTTTACAGCCATTCATTTTAGACTCTCAAAACACCAGGGACAGTGTTTTGGCAGTCATACAGGGCATTATATGAAGAATTTAGACCTTCTTACTGGCTTTTTATAATTTTAAACATAGTATTTTCTTGGAGTCGTATCTATAGCATCCTTACACCTAGCAAACCTTTAAGAATGGATTAAAAATCCTGGCTTGGTGCCCAAATACAGCACTGCTCCTAGGATATGGCTTTCTTAATTACACTATTTCTAACTCACAGGGAAGTTACATGACATTAAACATTCCTCAGGCCAAGCACAATCCTTCTCATTGCTTATTTCCAGACTTGTCCTCTGACAGGAGAAAAAGGTGTCTATTACAACTGTCTTTTTTTAATAAAATCTTCTTTCTCACCTTTTTCACCAGGCAGACCTCGATCTCCAATGGGTCCAGGGGTCCCTGGCAGTCCAGGAGTTCCCATAACTCCCATTTCTCCTTTGGGCCCTGAAAGCAAAGAGTGAATAAGAGAAATAAAGCAAGCCATGTAAAGAAGCTCAAGAAACTGAATTATTTACTCCCTATCACATTAGAAATTCCACTACTTAAGCAAAAATGCAAGTGAAGGCCAGTGTCTGCCAGCTGCTGGATCTGATCCACCAAAGGACTTGGGAGCAGTAGAGTCACACAAGCACAGAGCTACTGACATCAGCCTGGGTTTAATTAAAACTCAGTCCTCACAGAAGCCACTTGCCAAAGGAAAAGACATTTACCTGATGATCCTTTCAGCCCCACGGCCCCTTGGGGACCTGGCAGGCCGGGTAACCCCACAGACCCTGGGACTCCAGGCTGTCCTGGGCTACCTTTATCCCCTTTTGGTCCTGGCATATCTAGACCTGGGATACCAGGGAAACCTCTTTCTCCTTTTATTCCAGGAAATCCTAGAAAAAAAAAAAAAACAGAAGGTATGGGATTAGTCCTCAATGGAGCAGGGGGAACACCATTAACAAGACTACCTGACCCTGTCCATCTAGGATTCAGAAATTAAATAGCATGAATAATGAAGACTCAAAGCCAGGCAGCAGAAGAAGTCCTCATTTCCTAAGTGAGGCTCTGCTCCTGTCTGTATTATCCATCAATGACCAAAAAAAAGTGGCAGGTGTTTTCTCAGGAGGCCTTGCCCTGTGTTTTGGACCAGATGGAGGACACCCACCAACACACCCCCTGTGCATCCTCACTGACCATGCCACAAAACAGCTCATGAGCAATATTCCTACAAACACCAGTGTCCATCTATGACACAAGCACCATCAGGGGCTCGTTCCCCTCTCACCTGGTGGTCCCTGGGGTCCTGGCTGCCCAGCAGGTCCTGGTGATCCCTGTGGGCCAAGCCCTGGTGCTCCTGGAGGACCCTGTAAGCCTTGCAGACCTGGGAGACCAGGGTCACCTGCGGGGAGACAGAGACAGATTGAGCATCCTCCAGTGTTACCTGACATCCTCTTTGCTGGAAGATGATAGACAAGGTGCTTTGGAAGCCATTGGCCAACGTGACCTCATCCCAGCCTCCAGCCCCTCCTGCCTGGGCTGCTCCTTGCTGCCAGAGGTTTGTCAGGGAAAACGAGGGGAAGGCAAAAGGAATGCCCTGAGGTATCAGTTGGGTACCCCAGGAGTGAGGAGACTCATCTACAGAGTCATAGACTGTCTGGGCTGGAAGGG